CTAACACTGGCCAGGATTGATAAATGAGTTTTTTCACTAGTGAAGTACTTGTCTATATTGGAAATTTTTGAACATCAATATAGCTATACAGTTACAACCCCAATGCAGATGTGCTCTATCTAGATTAAGTAGCCTTGCACCTATGTGTCTTGCTCTCATTTCATAAAGAGGTTAAATTCCTCTGACTAGCAGCATGCAAATGTTTCGAAGTTCACTGGAAAACATCAGATGTATGGTAGCTTTAACTCTCATCATGTGTGTTATGATTTGGATAGATACACAGGAAAAATCCATATAGAAGAAAAATGAAGTATTGACAGAACAACAAGTACAGAAGTAGTATCTGAGATTACTTAGTCATATAGGAAAAAATGTGTAGGTATATGAATATGATTGTATCTAATAGCACGAAGAAAAAAATTGGAAAGTTAAATTAATCCCCCAATATTTAAAATTTATTCTGTAAATTCTGAAAGTCAGGATACCAATGACAACTGTTATCACTGACCTTATAAAATCAAATATTTTAACTACTTCAAAAAACAAACTGAAAAAAACGTAAGTTGTGTAACAAATTCATGTTTGTTTAATGAGTAAATCAAACATTTCCCTCCCTTCTAATCTTTGGCCCTAAAAGATGGTATGAGTTGGACTTTCATCTTAGTTACTTTTCTTCATCATGCCAATTTGTGTGTGTAGGCTACAAAAGGATACAATTTTAAGGCAAATCAAATGTTATAGAGTACCGACCTCAAAATAACTACTTTAGGTGTTTTAAACAAGCCAGATCATCATCACCTAAAAACCCATTTCAGAGAAGATTCTTTTATTGGAGGTCAGTTGTTTAAAAAGATGTTAAAAGTTTTCTTCAATTTTTACAAGCTCTACGTGGCATTTTCTTCACACCTTATCTTCAAAATGAACAAAACAATTTATCATGAAGAGTCAAAAGCACTGCATAATATGAATACAGAATATAGTTAAACCTATCAAAAACGAACACCATCTGCATCAAACTTCTTTTTTTCCTTTAAACAGGGGAGCAAATGGTTATGATTAAGATATTCTGTCAACCAGTTATTTTCTCAGCCACCATTCTGATTCCCATACCAGGCTTCTATTACAGTATGAAGGGGAAACAGAAAATATACTTTTGACATTCCTGTTTGATTAAACATTTTCATATTTATAACAGGATGTGTCAAGATATTGAATCAAGCAATTGATTCAAAAACTGAAAATTCATAAAGGCCAAGTGTCCGTCACCTTCCAATAGTGGTTTGCTTAACACAAGACTGAAAATAAGCATCCAGGAAATAGGAATATGCCAAAATGTAATCTATTTGCATAAGTCCAGAGAACTCCTTGCATGTGTTAGAAAAAAAGTAGGTTATGTAACACTAAAAGAAACACTTATAACCATTTTAAACAGGAAAGCAAAAATCATTGTGCCCTTTATTACGTACATTAAAAAAACCCCTAATGATGCGCACAGCCTCATTTTAAAAACTGATCAGGTTTACAAAGTGAAATACATTCATTTTTAGTTTAATTATTATAATGCGGGGGAAGGGTACTATCACTAATTGCTATTTCTAAATGTGAATGTAGGAAATTTGGCATTCAATTTTTGCAGTTCTGAAGATAAAGTGAGTGAAATATGTGAGGCCCACTGGATTTAGAATCCAGAAAATGAATTAAAACCTTTTCAGGCATGTGGAACCTCTGTATACTTTCAAATTTGATCAGTAAGTTGATCTATCACAAGCATTATGTTATGAATTTCCTCCACAGGCTATCTCAAAATCTTTAAAAAGATACTTAAATGTGATGCCCACCTATGTGCATTATAGATTAAACTATAGGACCAATACTCTCAAATAGCACCTTCATAAACAGAACCCTTTAAATTAATAGGTATTTTTGACAGATTAATTTGCTAAAGGATCTCAGAATTTTACAAATTCTAAATTTGTCTAAAAATGTCCTACCTCACACTTAAAAGCTTAAAATAATTGCATGTTAAGGCTTGCAGAAAATAATGTCAGCATACATACGATCTCACCATACCAAATCAAGGCCATGATCCTACACTAAGACTGATATGGACACAGAAATCTGCTCTCACAAATCACAATGCAAAGAATGGAAGAGGACACAGAATGTCCAAAAAAGGAACATTTTGCATGTCTGAATGGATTTGAATAAGGTTTTCAACTAAACATGAAAATTTTAATCTTTGACATTTAAATTTACATTTTTTCAAATTAAAAACATGCATATTCTATGTTAGTTATGCAGATCAAAATGTAAGCAGTCTCATGTATCAGGTTCTTTAATTGTTGGAATGTGGCAAATATCTTCACTGTCAAGAACAGCTCAAGAGCGTAGAATATTCTTTTCTTGTAAAAGGATAACATTTTCTTGTGAACATTCAAAGAAACATTTTCAGTGACAAGATTAAACAGCTACAACTTGCTATTTTAACTGCTAATAAAGAAGTGATTTAGACCCTTTCCTTATATTGTGAATGCTTTACTCTTGGGGCTCTTTTTCTATGATTAGACACTACTAAAATTAGAAGGTCTGAAAAAAGTTCTAACTGGAAACATGATGCAGCTAAAGACTATTTTTCTGTATACAATAAATTTTTATTCTACACAATAATCTGTTTGAAACTGTAATAGTACAGTATACATCTACACTAAGTACAGTAGCCAATTTATTAAATTTTAAAAGACGTTTACACAACAGATTAAAATATTAACACAGTTATGCTCTTAGGTCTAATAAATATACATTGCAGAGAGTCAACATGTTTTCCCTGACCCAACAAACATGCACAAGCAAATGGCAATGTGACCAGGTTATATAGCCTTGCCAACTGAATTGTTTAACTTCTCTCACCATGTGGTGCACCATCCTACTGCAAACAATGAACATACTGCAAATCTCAATTTAAGAAAAGGCAAGGAAGATTAACTTTTCTATCTTGTTTTTTTGTTTCATTGTGTAACACACAATGGTGAAAGCAATGCTATTGGAAATATTTGTATTTTGTTACGAACATTTGCAAAATCCATGAGAATAACCTTTTTCCATGTACAACTATTAACTTAAAAATGTCAAAGCACTATCCAACTGAAAAGAAAGGAAATGAGTAACTTAAAGTACGGTACAGCCATTCTGTGTGTTCAGTCACTAAGTCATACACGCCTGATTAGTGTATATTGGAAGGCTATAAGGCCCAACACTGATGCAGTTCCTTGATCTGTACAGTCTGCATTTGAAGGTATTTTTGCCCTAAACACAGTGAAACCCAAAGTCCCCAGGCACATTCTGGTATCCAGTATATCAGGATGCTCCTGTTACCTGCTACTGCTTATTTAATGCACTTGAATCTCACTGCTTCCTAATACTAAATATTATTACTACTTGCAATCTAGGTGTAATATGATTCATATACAAGCTTTTAAAAAAGATATTTTCAATTACAAAAGCAATTTTGGGGGCTTTTAAAATAAAAATCCTGATAATTGAGGAACAGAACCAGGTCACCAGGAAAAAAAAGAGGATAATATATAACCTCTCTGTCAGTCCAGATGTATCCTTATGCACTACAGCTGAACACCCAAGTGACATCCTCACACTTCATATCCTTTGGGAATTTTTTTAAACACAATACAAACTACAGATAAATTAGGATTCTGTAATGTAAAGACCAACTCAGATTTCCATGAATTAAATATTTTCTGTTCTACAGAACATAATATCGACTCTCAGAACTTACTGAAAGAGAAAATTCTCTCTCAAAACTGAGTCTGAGGATGCATTGGACTCAAGGAATTTTTTTGGAAGGAAGAGAATAAATACACTGCAAATGGGAGAAGCTGAAAATCTTCCATTACTAGATCACCAAATCTTCCACCTCTGGTTGGAAAAAAAAAATGCAAGCAAAACAGATGAAACAGAAGAGAGCAGTGCAACTGGATTACCTAGGAGGCCAATTCATCTCAACATTTCAACTCAGAAGTTCTATTTCAGTATTAAGCCTCCAAAGCACCAAGCTCACTTTTTCTATTCACATGTAGATTTTTTCAAGAAAAACCAACAACAGCTTTATACTTTTCATGCAACATTCTGGACTTCATAGATTCACTGCGAGCAAATAACCACAAAGTACTTTAATTCTACCACTATCTATCCAGAACACCAAGTATATTACAAAATAAGACAAGGCAAACATTTGCTTCAATTTTGGCTTCATGCATATCTACATTTTTTAAAAAATTAAATTCCTACTGTATATCCTTACAGTATCTCTCATTTGTTTCGCCTTCTAAAAGTAATAAGAAGAGTACCTATAAATGTAAATTTGATTTATTTAATCAAATTAACACCTAACATCTAATTATCTTGCTACCTTAAGAAGGTGAAAGACTTATTTTTATAACCTAATTTCATTTCAATTTTATTAACCTGTCTTCATTATTCTGTGTGCACAACCCACAGGCACGCACAAGAAACAGCGATATCTACTTACAGTTTACACAAGTATTTACATACATGTTATATACATAAACTAATGTGACTGCATGATTTTCAATATAAAAGTATATGCTTCTTTCTAGCACATATAATTGTTGCATTGGTCTTACAAGAGTAATATAAACCTTTTGCAACAACTAGCTAAAGCATATACCATAGCTGATCCACGTTTTCATAACTTGTAAGTTTTTTTTAAAAAAAAATACAATACCTAGAACACTGTTATCAAACAAATATGTTTTATTGGCATCTAAAAACAAAATGCACCCAACATTAAAATGTACTTTTTATCATTTTTTAACCCACTGCAGTACGTAGAACATATCACAGACACTGACTTTAGAGAAAACAGAGACTATAGTGTAGATTTTACAAAATCACTTTTAATCTCTGTATTATGCTCCTTAAAATAAACAGGACTATTTTTTTTCTTTTCTTTTCCTTCTTTTTTCTTTTTTTTGCCAAATTTCAGGAACATGTAATATTCACAGCTTTGTCTATATTTAAAATTCTGCAGCAGCCTAAAAACATGGACAAGATACACCAGCACCTGCTTTCAAGTATAACAATTTCCACAGCCAACCTAATGGTAGTATCTAAAAAATTCCATTTTCTTCCATAGGAAGTCTTTGTTTGACAAGCTGTTATTCATCGTTGTGACATTAAAAGCAACTGGGGGCAAGTCTGTGTTTTATCAGAGAAATAAAAAATGTTTACCTACCATGTTCAAATTAAGAACAGTGTTCTACACAAGTCAGTTGTACAGTTATTTAAGTGAAAGAAGAACATGAACATCAGATTAACTTAATTCTGGCAGACAAAAGTGAACTGCTAAGGTCCAGTCAGCCATTTATCTATTACAGAGAGATGACAACTTTACAAAAGGTATCTTTTACCTACTGAGTGATGATTATGTCCCCTCAGTTTCTGTGCTTTCTACCACTGGTTCACTTTCTATATCAGCTTCTGTGTCACTCTTCTCTTTGTTTATCTCACTTGAAGATGCTAGTTTTTCATAAAGTTCTGGATCATTCTGCACTTGCACATTTGGTGGCTGACTTTCTGTCTCTGTATTTTCACCATTTACCTGGGGTATATTATCAGCTTTGCGCTGTGAAGTGGCCCCTTCAAAATATTCAAAAACCCTTGGATGTGGAGGAGGGATCCAGTTGTTCTGAATTCTCTCTCTTCCAAATCTGTTTCCATTTACTTCTCTGCAAAAATTAAAATCTCTGTCATCCCTGTCCCTCTGTCTTTCCCAGGGCCTTCTGCGGTCATCAAAATCTCTGTGAGCGTCTTGTTCAAATCCCCTGTTCCAGTTCGGACCACTTCTATTATCAAATCTGTAATTTATATGCCGAAATCTCTCTCTATCTTCATGGAAATTTTTAGGAGCACCATAGATAGGGAAAATGTTGTGTTCTCTTTCATCATAATCTCCTCTCTGTCCCCAAGGTTTTTCTGAATTGAAACCAAAATGCTCTCTTCGACCAATATTATCCACACTTGGTCTTCCAAAATTTTCTCTCAGATCTATATGTGGTCTTGCAAAATGTTCTCTTCCATCTATTGGAGGTCTTCCTAGACCCTCTCTTGGATCTACTGGTGGCCGTCCGATAGAATCCCTGACATCAACTGGGGATGGCCTATTAAGAGTCTCTCTGTTTTCCACTGGTGGAAAGCGATAGTCTCTGTCTCCTTCCTGTTGAATGCCATCACCTCCAAGTGGTAACCTTTTTTCTGGATTAGAAATGTTATCAACATTTTGTCTTCCAGGTGTCCCAAAATGTCTTTCTGTTTGGTTAAAAAGATCTCCCGGAGGAGGAAAAGGACCTCTAGGTGGTGGATGAAGGGATGGGTCAAGGATCGTTGGAGGAGGGATATTGCGCTGTGGTGGTATTCCAGGCTGTATTAATGGAAATCTTGGTCCGGGTGACTGGGGTATTAGTCCTGGACGGATATCTAAGAGAGGCATTCCAGGCATCCTTTGACTACTAATACTTAAATGGTGTATGTTTTGAACACCTGCTGGATGCTGCATCCCCAGAAGTCCCGAACTACTTGAGACATGGGGTGGTGGTACTACTAGAAGTCCAGAGCTGCTTGAGACATTTGGTGGCGGCAGTCCCGCCAAAAGCCCAGAGCTGCTTGAGACATTTGGTGGCGGCAGTCCCGCCAGAAGTCCAGAGCTGCTTGAGACGTTCGGTGGCGGCAGTCCCGCCAGAAGTCCAGAGCTGCTTGAGACGTTCGGTGGCGGCAGTCCCGCCAGAAGTCCAGAGCTGCTTGAGACGTTCGGTGGCGGCAGTCCCGCCAGAAGTCCAGAGCTGCTTGAGACGTTCGGTGGCGGCAGTCCCGCCAGAAGTCCAGAGCTGCTTGAGACGTTCGGTGGCGGCAGTCCCGCCAGAAGTCCAGAGCTGCTTGAGACGTTCGGTGGCGGCAGTCCCGCCAGAAGTCCAGAGCTGCTTGAGACGTTCGGTGGCGGCAGTCCCGCCAGAAGTCCAGAGCTGCTTGAGACGTTCGGTGGCGGCAGTCCCGCCAGAAGTCCAGAGCTGCTTGAGACGTTCGGTGGCGGCAGTCCCGCCAGAAGTCCAGAGCTGCTTGAGACGTTCGGTGGCGGCAGTCCCGCCAGAAGTCCAGAGCTGCTTGAGACGTTCGGCAGAGGCAGTCCTGCCAGAAGTCCAGAGCTGCTTGAGACACCAGGTGGTGGCATTCCTCCTGCAAGTGCAGAACTGCTTGAGACATTGGGTGGCAGCACTCCTCCTGCAAGGGCAGAACTGCTGGAGACACTGGGTGGCGGCACTCCTCCCGCAAGTGTGGAGCTGCTTGAGACACTGGATGGCTGCACCCCTCCCACAAGAGCGGAGCTACTTGAGACATTGGGTGGCTGCACTCCTCCTGCACGTCCAGAGCTGCTTGAGACACTGGGTGGCTGCACTCCTCCCGTGAGTCCGGAGCTGCTTGAGACATCATTTTGAACTGAAATGAAATAACAATATTTAGTAGACTGAAAAAATTAAATGTGACACTAAACAGTTTACAATACAAATAATATTTTAATTAGTGATGTCAGATATTGGATAATAGAATAGTCGAGTAACTGCATTAAATATTATTGTTTGACTATTCTATATTCCCCAGGAATCTGCTATCTCGTGCTACTGTCTCTGTATCAAAGGTAAGGATATTAAGTATCTGTTAATTGGCTAGTCGAGTAGTTGATGGAATTTCCACATTCTTCCTTTGAAATGTACAAGAGTCCCCGCTGTGAGCTAGTCGATTAGTCCTTAATATCCTTTATCAGAGGCAGCAGCGTGAGGTGCCAGGTGGGAACTGGTCTGCAAGGGGAGCCAGTGTAAAAAACAACTGATACAGAGGCAGCAGAGCAGGGGGTGTGAGAGCCTTCACCACCCTGCCATGGCAATAAATGGGGATGTCTGCCTTGTCCAAAGTGTGGATTTCGGGCCTATTTCAAGTCTGGTTCACCAAAGCACTCAGGCAGGGCCCAAGAGTCAGGCATTGTTTTGCATAAAAATACAGATTAAGCAGGGTATGTGAGACCATATCAAGAACACAGGACAAGCGGCCTTGTACTGGTACTTGTTTCTGATAAGCAAAGAAGTACAGATGCAGCCATGAAACTGTCAACTGCACACATAGCAGTTACATCCTGAACAGCAAGATGTACCCCAAATAGGGGCACTGGGCATTTTACATATGCTACACAATATGTAATCAATTGGTAAATATTATTAGAATGACCAAGTTTCGCTTTGCTATAAATTGGGCTTAGCAAGAACAATCGACGGGAGGGAATGGGCAAGACTAACCCACACATCCTCCTCAATGTAACTAGAAGTGATTAAGCCCTTCACATTGGTTACATCAGTGGTGGCATTCCTATGCATGGGACCACCTGCCTGGTACTGTAGATAGCATACGGGTGAAGCGTAAGTGAATTAGGCTTTATTATTGTATATAGTAGATCTTTTAGTAATTGCTTTTGCATTGCTTTGCGCTGTAATTGCTTTAGCATTTATAGTATTTAAGGTTTAAATTGTATAGTAATTGTGCTTAAGGCTTGTCAAACTTAAACAACTGTATTAACTGCTTAAAGCTTGCAATAAATAAGAAAGTGGTTAAGTAGCCCTGGTGTGTACTGATTCCCTTGGGTCTAAAATAAATTGAACCACACGACAGGGGTGGCAGCAGCCCTCTTCGTGGGGAGAGGGGGGAATCTGAGCTCCCCATGGACAGAAGCTGCTGTAGGGAGTGTAGGGGGAGGCTACTGCAAAACAGCCTCTACCCATGGGGAACTGGGACTGACCCTACGGACAGGGGCTGACGGACAGGGGCTGCCGCTGCAGAGCAGCCTCTATTTGCAGCCTCCCCTGGCCCCCTATGCTGCTGTCTCTGATAGAGACAACAGCACTGGCGGAGGAGGGGGCAGGCAGCATCTGTGGAACCGGTGCTGGGGGTAACTGGCTTTTAAGCCAGCTGTCTCCAGCACCAGCTCCTGCTTTCCCCCAGCCTTGCTGCCTCTGCATCAGAAGATTAACCAATAAGCCTAGGCTTATCAGTTAATAATATATTCAACTATTCATTTACACCCCTAATTTCACCCCTGACGTCTTCACATAGTAAAGACTGAATCGAAAGTTTTAAGGTGCACGGAAAACTACATGCTCACTAAACCTACTAAGAAAATGTGGACATTTCTGAATGAATGCTTAAAACCATGTACTAATTTCTCATCCACTGAGGATATTACCTACTGGAAAACGGAGATTCTAAAAAACACTCATTACTGGTAACTCTTCACTGATCAAATCCAAAATCCAAGAGCATGCTGAACAGAAAACTTCCAACACTTGAATGGGTTAACACAATGCACGTGGGTTGACTTAAAAACTTGTATTTATAGAGTCAACATATATGTAAGCAGTGCTTTATTTGTGATGGTACTGCCCGGAAAGAATGGAGCGTACTGGCACCTCTGTATGTAAATGTCTGACAATCAGCTGGCCCCACCCTGCTTTTTTTTTTTTTTTTTTGGTGCTCAACAACTTTTCCCCTGGAGTACCGCACTTTAATTAATTTATTTTTTTAAACAAAAACAAAACAAAAAGCACTGTATGTAAGTATACGTTTCTTACCAGATCTGTTGTTTTCACTGGAAGAAATCTGAATGTCTGCAAGATGTGATCCTTTTTCTTCTGACTCTGGTTTGCTGCTTGGAAGAGGGTTAAAAACACTTCCTGTTGATAATGTTGGAGTGGCTAGACCACTAGACATGGTGCCAACTGGTAAAACAAGGCTACCAAAAGAAACATCTTTCATTGCCTCTTGAGTAATGGATAGGGGAGGCTGCACTAGAGCTGAAGGGAAAAAAATACAGAATAAAAATCATCTCAGTATTTCTTAAACTATGTTGCAAAAGTTAATTCAGCAGATACTTTATTGTTAGAGTATGTAATGAAATATGTTCATAAAAACTAACAATATTGTTCACTTTGGAGTAAACTACTTTTCAAAAAACATTTTAAATCCTTAAATATAAGCTTCCCAATGCTTCACTCTTAAGTAGTAGATTATGAATTAATACAGAAAAAAATACTGGTTTCAACTAGCTTTGATATTCAAACAATTAAATGGAGCCAACTTGAAAAAGTTATGTATTATTTTCATTATTCAGTCTAATTCAAGGACTGAAAGAAAACAATAATTTGCTTAATGGATGTAATTTGGCCACTTATACAACTCTCAATTAAACAATATATGCATGAACAATACATTATTTTCAAATAATTTCTTCAATGACTGCTGAGAAAATATTAAATGTTCTGTTTATTAATATTATTATACCAACTTACCTATGCACTATAAACTTGTTCTAAATACAATGGTGAATACAGCACACAAATACCCCATACAACCCTGTATCTACCAGAATTTGCATTGAGAACAGGAGGGATAAAAATCAAGTTTTATTTTTAAATTTAAAAATCATATTATTTAAATTAAAAATACAGGATATTTTAAAATAAAGCTATTTAAAACTACATCTGAAATTATGAAACTATATATTGAGACCTAAACTTACCATTATTTATAAAATAATTTAAAGTAAATTAAAACAATAATACTGAACAGTACATGTTAACTGCTGAAAATTAAAGAAAGTTTGAACCATTCAATTTGTGGAAAGTGATACTGCCTAAGCTTCTGGAATCACAGTTTTCTGAAGTGCTACACCAGCTTTTGATGGCAGTATCCTCCCTCTGCAAATGCAGAGAATATTTTCTTCATTTCAGTTTATTCCACTAGTTCAATTCAATGACTACTGCATTCAAACTGAAAGAAAAACAACAACTGAGAGTTGAAAATGAAGAAAAGCTTGTTTTCTTCTTCCATTTGCTATAAATAAAACCAGATGAAAGAGGATGAGATTTACTTGTTCTATAATTTTGAAGTATAATGGTGACCAGAAACAATCAGCTCAATTCAATAATCACTTTGTTTAATAAATCAGTTTGCTTTTCAATATTTGGACATTTTGCGATATGCTTTTTTTCCTTATGCACCCCACATATTTTAGGTAGTTTTATTTAATTAAAAAATATTTAAAAAAATTTTCTATACATTAATTGAATTAGCATTTCCAAAATACTGAGACACAAATCACAAGATAAACTTTAATAAGAAATGCATCAGCCACCATTTTCTATCATAATATAAATGTAAAAAATAAGAATCTAAATAAATGAAAATTAAGCTATATGAATGCTTAAATAAATGATTACTGATTTAGTGTTATCTTCCTGGTTAACAAAATAACCAAATGTAATGTAAAGACTTTATTTAGTTGCAGATCAATCAGGTTTATTCTGCAGATAAGGAGAATCAACTTTTCTTTAAGAAACTAAAAAGTTACAAAATACAAAACCATACTAAAATTGTTTGTTTAAATCAAGATTTTTTTTACTTGCTGAATTAAATCAATCCACTTGAAGTACAAATTAGTACATTAAGTAGCTAGTTTTTATTAATACAAAATTAGCATTCTTAAAAAAAGACAACTCACATGTTGGGACTACTGATGGAACAACAGGTGGTGGAACAACAGGCGGTGGCACTGGTGGAACCGGAGGAGGCATAAAACCTACATGAACAATGCAAAATAACTGAATAGAATGGCCAACTCTAATAAAAATACTATGATAAAAACTCACTAATTTGCACTAATCAGGAAAAAGATTGCAAACTGGCAAGTATCAGTGGCATGGGAAGAGAATCAGCCTTTGTTACTGGTTCCAACTTTAACCCAGAAAATGTATATGTACCTCTTTAAGTGGCCATTTACACAAGCAATACTCAAATGAACAGTTAGTTTCAACTAACAATCAAATGTTTCAGTTAAAAAAAAAAAAACTAGATACGAATAAATCTGCAAACTAAAGTTTGATTTTTAAAACCAGACTGAAAATATGAAGAATTTACTAAGACTACTGACCTGAATCTCTAAATCAGAAATAATCCGAGGGCATAACATATGTTTAAGATGTTAGCATGGATGTACTTATACAATTAGTTAAAACGGTCACTTACCAGGAGGTGGTTGGGAAGGGTTGAAACTTGCCCGCAAGAATGGAGGTGGTGGAAGTCCACTGTAGCCAGGAGGCGGGACAGACATTGTTACAGGAAATGCTGGTGGAACTAAACTAACAGCAGGCACAGCTGGAGTTACTGGAATCTTTTTTTTTCGGGGGAGGGAGAGGAAGAAAAAAAAATCCAGAAATTATAAATTTTTACATTATTTAATGACTTTGAAAAAGAAATAAATTGATTACAATTGCTGTTAACTCAAAGTGGTAATTATAATCAAGGTTCTGCCTGGGTAGATTGGAAATTCTGCAGCAGCTTCCGGTAAATAAAAAATTGAGGTTTTATAAATTCAATGGCTGAAGCCCTGAGTAATGGCAGCTCCTCCCTGCCCCTGCTGCAGGAAAAATAAGGCACACTAATGCCCTTTTTTAAAAAAAGCAAGTTAGGATGCCAAGAACAGCCCTTAAAAATAGGACTGTCCCAGAAAAAACGGACAGATGGTCACCCTACTCAAAGGAGTAACCATGTCAGTCTGTAACAGAAAAAACTTAAAAAACAACAAATGGTCCTGCAGCACCTTAGAGACTAGCAAAAAATGGTATCATGAGCTTGGTGCTACAGGACTATTAACTTACTAAGTTCTTTAGGGCTACATTCTGTCCAAATTACATTGATAGAACTTCTCCAACTTGGCCCTATAATTAATACTTAGACCGTAGGCCTGCAAATATATACGTGATTAACTTTAAGAACAAGTAGTTTACAGACTTCATGGACATAAACATTTGCCAGCAAAGAAGCCACTGCAACTTGCCTCTCTACTGTAGAGTCAGAAAATGTTTTAAAATATACTTCCATTGCCTCACTATAGGTGAGCAAGAATATCTAAACTATTTGAATGAACACTGGGAGAATGCCATCATATCTTTTCATATTCTGTTTTAAACATAAAATAATCAATACAAATACATATTTATATATTATACTTAGTTCAGGAACTAGAATTTTGATAACCTACAGGAAAGGAAGATAGTGGGGAAAGAACAGAGAAAGAAAGGAAAAAGGAAAGGTAAGTTGAGCAGAGAAGGATTTCAAAGGAATTTCTTTTTTTTCCCCTAACACTGTTTTTTAACAATTGAAAACCTACTTTGTTTTTCTTTTATAATTCCGTCACCTTCCATTTAAAAATTGAAGTATTTAAATATTTCAGTGGAAATATTGATAACTTGACAATGCTTCAAAAATATCATGATTTAGTAGGCTAAAAAAAGGTTACTCACCCTGTGCAATTACTGTGGTTCTTCTAGATATGTTTCCCTGTTGGTGTTCCACTTAAGGTGCGCTTGCGCCCAAGGTGCCTCAGATCAGAGACTTTAGGTTGCACTGTCCATTTGGCCCACTCATGAGTTCCCCACAGCCTCATACCCTGCACAGAGGCTACATAGAACTGAATGTGCAAACCACCCTCAGTTCCTTCACTACAGCAGAGAATTCTGTGAAGAACTCTCAAGCAGATTAAGAGAAGAGTGGATATGTTGAAGAACCACACAGTTCCTGCACAGAGAAAGTAATCTTGTTTTCTGTGAGTAGTGTCTCTTTAGGTACTCCACTACAGGTGACTATCAAGTAATATCTTTTACAGAAGGAAACAATTCTAAGATCAAAGATAAAACAGTAGAATCAAATATGGCATGAAGTTAAAGCATGAATGACAGCGTGTTCAGAAAATTTATGAATGGACTGTCAAATCATGACTCTATATATTTGCATGATGGGAACATTCTTAAAGCCTACTAAAATAGAGACAGATCTCATAGTCAATATGCTACAGGGAGGCTGAACATTAATTTGTGTGTGGAAATTGGAGATCCCCACTAGGGATGTTAAAATGCATGTAACCGAATAAGAATGTAACTGCTGAATATTTCAGTGGTTACATGCAGGGGCAGCCAGCTCCTGGCACACATGGGCTTTTGCCTGCCACCCTGCTCCCACCTGCCGCCCCATACTGCTGCCTCTAATATAGCCATTTCCAGGTAGCCGTTTTGGTAACTGATAAACATGAGCTTATTGATTACCCATTTAAATGACTAAATTCTTACATCCCTGTCCGGACTGAAGAAAAATAATCTGGGCGATTTCTTAAAGGACCTAGTTATTAAGAAAAATACTAACGCCCTAATGAGCTCACAAGTATATAATGTCATATTATCCTTTATCCCAGTGTGGTTTAGGGAAGAAAACTGAAAGGTATATAGGCTGATTTATGTGGAATTCCAAAGATACCTTTGCAGAAACTTGGAATGCTGTCGCAGGGTGACCTTAGTCTTAAAGAAGACTAAAGTATGCCATGAGAACAACTCTACCCCACTCACTGTTTTAGTGGAGGTGATGGCTACTAGAAATACAGTTTTAGTAATAGATATGGAAAGGAACAAGTATTCAAAGGGAGGCCTCATATGACATCTGAGGACCAAGCTGATGTCCCATGCCAGCTGCCTTGTGGTTGGATAAGCAAAGATGGAAAACCCCTTACCATATGATGTAATATCATAACTGTCAAATGCACTTTTATGAGTTTAAAGATAATCTTGTCAATTTTAGCTATAAAATGTATCTAGTACAAATGGCAATGGAGAGGGTTTAGGTGTAAGATGTTTAAATCACATCTGCTTGAATATCATCCATTTTTGGGCATGTATGTCACAAATACACTGCTTCCTGTTACATAACAGAACACTCTTCATTTCCCCTGAATAGGTTTTTCTTATCTTGCAGAGCACCTTGGGTATCAAGGGAGTTAGGATGAACGCATACAGAAGATCCTCATTCCAATAAAAAAGAGCAACGTCTCAGGATTTGGTTTAAAAAAAAAAAAAAAAAAAAACACTACTGAAGGCATGGAGAATAGTTTTTTTTAAACTGTTTGGAAAGTTATGGAAATAGACTAAAAAAACTGATCTTCATTCTGAAGCCCAAAAGAACTACTTTAACATTAAAAAATACTAATGCCAAAAGCTCAACTCTCACAATTGGCTATGTTAACTTAGAATGTTAAGTTAGAAATCTTGCATCAATGACAAAAAAAAGTGGGAGGGGGACCCCCAAACCAGGCTCAAAACTGACCTGCAGCATAGTTACAGGTTGAGTATATGCTTCTGTCTGTGTGGTAACGGCCGTATTCTTATCAACAGTTGCACTCTGAGTAGTTTGGATATTCTCTTTAACAGCCTCTGCACTCCTCACAGTTTCCCACTCTAAATAAAATAAAAAAGGTATTTTGTGAAAAGTGAGTTTAGTTTGTTTTCATTTCCACATTAAAAACCCCACAATCAACTTAAAAAAAAAATCATATGTTGGTTAGAAAGTGACAAGCAACAATGAAGCCTACTGTAACTAAAAGTATCTGGTGGGTGAAAAATGAAATACGTAAAAATTATATAGATATAGACACACAGAATCAGTCTCTTGGCAGAAAGACCCTCGACCATCAGAAGCAGAACACAAACATCCTGTAACTTTTTTTAAGTGAATGGAGAATGAACAAAAAATTGCAGGTATACAATTAAATGTAGCTCCATCAGAAACTGATTTGTTTTAAAATGTTCAAGAAATTTAAGTTGATTGTCACTTTATAAATGATTCATGACATATAAAGAATGTAGCAGCCCCTTATGTACTGTCATGCATATTTTACAACATGTCTATATTACTGAGTGACTAATCTGACACATGGTCAAATAGTGTGATTAACAACAACAAAAAATCTGCCTCCAATATCCCAAGGAAAAACGAAGTTGGCATTCTAAACACAAGGTGTTGGAATTAATTTTCAGTATAGATTCAAATTTAATTTTGCTGCCACAGTTAGTAAAACCAATATTTATACACTCAAACATTCCTTAACAGTATCTAAAGAAATGTCTACAAGGCCCCACAATTTGGACTGAATTTGCAGTTTACATATGGGGATGGCACAGGTGTGAACTAAAAGGTACCTAACTTCACATAATATGAACTCTTAGTTAATTTACATAACAAGGCCTCTTTAGTTAGCTCCTGCAGTGTGCACATATAGGAGAAGTGTGCAGTTCACACCCCCACAATCTTAACTAGGGATGTAAAATCCCATTTAATTGTTTAACTGAGATGTTTAACCAGTTAACCCAGATGTTTAGCTGGTTAACTGATTAAAGAAGGGGCCAGGCGAGGGTTGGGGGAGGTATTCCTGCCCAGCTGGACTGAAGATGCCTCTCCACCTGCCGCTGTTGGGCTGGGGCGACCCCAGCCAGAGCACCCTGAACTGTTGAACTGTGTAGATAAGCCCTGTGATACAAAACAGATTATAAACCAGTGGAAAAAAGGATCAAATATCACCGATAGTCTCAACAGAAAGTATTTAACAATAAAGGATATCCAGATCAGTCTCTTCCATCATTTTACTTTTACATCTTTAGGCCTGATGTGTCAATCATGTCTCAGATTTTACAAGCACTAATATTTGCATATGTACTTAGTAACAATGTAGAAAATCAAAAGCCACTTTTAAAAATATTAATATTTATTGTCATGCTTAACTCCAATGGTCTGAATGTTGGCATAGTATTAAGCTGACCTGCAGTGTTACTGTCAGATGTTGACTCAAATGCAAGACAGAAGAAATCCAAATTTCTGGATTTAAGAGCTCAGTGCCCTCTGAACTAAGGATGTTAAATTTCGATTAATCAGCTAATGGAGTAGTCAAAGGAATTTCCATCGACTACTCGATTAGTCAATAAGGAGAGCGCTCGCCATCTCACTGTGTGTCTCTTTTAGAAGTGAATTCCGGCTGCCTCTCTCCCTTTGAAGTATAGGCAGCTCCTGTACATTTCAAAGGGATAGAGGCAGTGGGAACTAAAGCAATTCCCACTGGTGCAGGTTCCATCCTGTGCTTCTTCCTTTGAAATGTACAAAAGCCACAGGTGGCTCTTGTATATTTCCAAGGGAAAGGAGCAGCACGGACCGGACCATCGTGAGTGGGACTGTTTCAATCCCCGCTCATGTCATTTCCCCTGCTGCTCCCTGCCTCCCATTGAGACAGTGCTGGGAGAGCGGGACACAGGCTTTTAACCATCTCCTCCCCAGCACCAGCTCGTGCTGCCCCCTCTTTCTGCCTCTCTCACAGAGGCAGCGCCGGGAGGGGGGGCAGGGAGGGGGGGGGAGAGTGACCAGTCAAATTCCTGCTCAACTACAAGCATTACACTAGTTGCTTACATCCCTACTCTACAACAAATGCAAAAAAGAACATGTACACCATAAATACACATTTACTGAAAATGAATTTAAGGAATAAAGAAAATAAATATTTTTAATTATTCATACCTGTATTTACAGTCTCCTGGTCAATCATGCCTCCTTCAGCAAAGCCATCTAAATCATCCAATTTCACTTTTTCCCAAGGTATATACGAAACTCCAAGATCCACATCCCAAAACTGCTTGTACTCTGTTTTCACACCTTTATTTAAAGCCCAAGCAATCTGAAAATAAAATTAAATTAGATGATGTAGCTGAATTAAAACACTTGAGTTATCCACTTCACCTTCCAATCAGTGCAAGATTGTGCTCCACTGTACATGAACTGATGCTTCACTTGTATATGTACCAAGCAATAGGGCGTGCTCTCAACATCTAGCAGCAGTGGCTGCTTGGAAGACCTTTGTAACCAAAGACCCAAAAGAACTTTAAGAAGTGTGCTAAATATCTCTAATTTACAAATGGAAAAATGGAGGCATAGAGCTAAAAAGACTTACCAAAGGGTATTGGAGTAAATTAGTAAAAGCACATGTTTAACTTCTAACATACAGTCCTCACTAAAATCAATGAGACTACAGGCAGTCCCCGGGTTACGTACAAGATAGGGACTGTAGGTTTGTTCTTAAGTTGAATCTGTATGTAAGTCAAAACTGGTGTCCAGATTCAGCCGCTGCTGATCAGTTTCAGCAGCAGCTGACTTGGGGACGCCTGGGGTTCTTAAGGTGAATCTGTATGTAAGTCAAAACTGGTGTCCAGATTCAGCCGCTGCTGATCAGTTTCAGCAGCAGCTGACTTGGGGACGCCTGGGGTTCTTAAGGTGAATCTGTATGTAAGTCAAAACTGGTGTCCAGATTCAGCCGCTGCTGATCAGTTTCAGCAGCAGCTGACTTGGGGACGCCTGGGGTTCTTAAGGTGAATCTGTATGTAAGTCAAAACTGGTGTCCAGATTCAGCCGCTGCTGATCAGTTTCAGCAGCAGCTGACTTGGGGACGCCTGGGGTTCTTAAGGTGAATCTGTATGTAAGTCAAAACTGGTGTCCAGATTCAGCCGCTGCTGATCAGTTTCAGCAGCAGCTGACTTGGGGACGCCTGGGGTTCTTAAGGTGAATCTGTATGTAAGTCAAAACTGGTGTCCAGATTCAGCCGCTGCTGATCAGTTTCAGCAGCAGCTGACTTGGGGACGCCTGGGGTTCTTAAGGTGAATCTGTATGTAAGTCAAAACTGGTGTCCAGATTCAGCCGCTGCTGATCAGTTTCAGCAGCAGCTGACTTGGGGACGCCTGGGGTTCTTAAGGTGAATCTGTATGTAAGTCAAAACTGGTGTCCAGATTCAGCCGCTGCTGATCAGTTTCAGCAGCAGCTGACTTGGGGACGCCTGGGGTTCTTAAGGTGAATCTGTATGTAAGTCAAAACTGGTGTCCAGATTCAGCCGCTGCTGATCAGTTTCAGCAGCAGCTGACTTGGGGACGCCTGGGGTTCTTAAGGTGAATCTGTATGTAAGTCAAAACTGGTGTCCAGATTCAGCCGCTGCTGAAACTGATCAGTTTCAACAGCGGCTGAATCTGGACACCAGTTTTGACTTACATACAGATTCAACTTAAGAACAAACCTACAGTCCCTATCTTGTACGTAACCCGGGGACTGCCTGTACATATAAACCTGAAATTAAGCTAGCGTTTAAGTACTCTGCATAGTCAGGAATAGAATCCAGGTGTCCTGACTCCCAGTCCTTTGTGTGTTCAAACTTCCAAAGTATTCCTTAAACAGCAGGTTACCATTTTAAGGTCTGTCTCACTTCCTACCCAAATACACATTTTATAAGAAAATTTCCTACTCTACTTAATACTAACAGAAGTTATTTTGCCTCCTTCTCATGCTCTATTTTGCATACCTTAATCAGACTCATAATATAGAAAAAAACCAGTATTTTTTTAAAGTACATGGTTAAATCATATAAAGATTTCTGCTATATTTAAGTTAGACTATGTTACTGAACAAAACATGGCTTACCTTAATAATTTTAGATCCAATTTTGTAGGATCCAGAACTAAGTTTCTGAAGAGCACGATATGCATCTTGTCTATGAACCATGCAGACATATGCACAACCTCTTGGAGGAATCATCTGTGAAAAAAAAACCCATCTCATTATTATAGCAATTAACTGTTGTTTAGACCAGTAGTTCTCAACTTTTTTGATACCGGGACTGGCAAACCCATTCACAAACTTTTTGTGTACTGGGAACACTTTATTTGCATATGTGCGTATTCATTATGCAAATGATGAATATGCAAATAAAATATTACTAGTCCACCAAAAGCCCAGCCCCAGCACCAGCCATTGACCCCAGAGTCCCCTGTCTGTCCTAACTGATTCTGGCAAGTTTCTGCTTGGTTTGGATTAGCCCTTTTGTTAGTTTATCCCAGGAAAAGGGACTAATTGAATCTGGGACTATTATACTTTCCTTCTACCACTCTTCTGTAGTCATGTGGCCTGTCCCTATCACAATTCAGAGTGTTAAATGGAATTTAGAAATCTAACCATAGACACTCATATTTGACAAATTTGGCCTATAATAATAAGCTACAAGAAAACTTTTTCCCCCTTCACTTCACACATCTTATATTTCCCTAAATGCAACATGCTTCATGTTTGTCATGTTTTCCTAATATTAAGTACATATTAGTATGGATTTGGCAAATATATCATACAGAATAACTTTCCTAAAAATTAGTAATATGCAGACAGACAGAATTTCAAAATGAAGGACACTGTGCTCACTTACATTAATAGATTCTATTTGTCCAAATTCTTCGAACAAATTAGTTAAATCTTGCTGTGTGGCCTTCTTGTCTACTTGACCAACCCAAAGAGTAGTACTGCAAACTGTCAAAAGACACATTGAATTAAAAAATGACAATACTTTGTACTACATTGTATTCTTCATCTAATAAGTTGAATATGTTGAAAAAAAATTACATCTAAACAACCAATCTGAGGCAAGAATTATAAATATTTTGTGCGGGGAACAGAGCTTAAGTAATTAGAGGCACAAGGATTAAGACTTGATGGAAATGATAAAATGAATTAATGATAAAGCAAGAAATCTTGACTCCCTGCCCATGGCTCTAATAAAAATACAACATTCCATTCAGATAAACTAGCCTTGGTAAAAGGTTCTTGATCTTTATAACTAAAAAAAAAAACGCATCATAAGAGATCAGGAAATAAAAACACAAGATATATCATCAGCTAATGCACCAATTAAAGAAACAAGTAGTTTTAACAAGCAACTTTTCTACTGAGCATGCAATCTCGCATGTAAATCTAAAAACTTACAGAACAATTTACAAAACAGATGAATACAATACATGAAAAAATAAAAGTTAAGGAGCATTATAGGAACTGGTATTTAAAGAGTGATCATTAGGTCAGCTTCCTTCCTCTTCTGAACGTAAAACTGCACAGAAAGATTTTTCGTATCAAAAGTCCAAAAGTCATTCACCTGAAAGCTAACTCATGTCTGATACTCATTTTGATATTAACCTTCTTGTGAAAGTTGTATTTGGATAATGCTTTGATGACTATCTTCATCATTTTATATTACATATCTGTATCTATCTTAATGAGCGTTAATGGCATATCAATTTGCAGGTATTAAAATGAAGACTATCAAAATTATTTGTGAACAAAAAATTGAACTTCAAACTGCTAGTTTTTTTAAACCACATTTCTCAGATAGAAATCAAGCAGCCCAGGGGAATTGATTCTGAAGAGCACAACTATTCTAAAAGTTGAAAAATGAATTTTGTTTTACAAGAACATCTTGTTCCTTAAAAAGAGGGATAGAAATTTTACTTTACTTGGAGCCCTGCTGTATTGCAGTAGTGTTAAATTTAAAAACATTTAATGGTTACTGTGATGTACTTAAATTCAGCCATAGAATACAGTAGAATAGTGATAGAAATGTAGCCGTATGTAGCACTTTAAAGACTAACAAGATGATTTATTAGGTGATGAGCTTTCGTGGGCCAGACCCACTTCCTCAGATCAAATAGTGGAAGAAAATTGTCACAACCATATATACCAAAGGATACAATTTAAAAAAATGAACACATATGAAAAGGACAAATCAAATTTCAGAACAGAAGGCGGATGGCGGGGGGGGGGAGGGGTAAAATGTCTGTGAGCTAATGATATTAGAGGTGATAATTGGGGAAGCTATCTTTGTAATGGGTAAGATAATTAGCATCTTTACTCAAACAAAGACTGCACAGGCGCTGTGGATGCAAGAGGAGAAGTAGATGCTGGCTCAGGGAGGGGGCTCCAGACTGGGAAGGGATGGGGTTAGGATTAGGGTTGGGGTCCTCAGCAAGCCACAGGCTTGTGGATGTAAGGGTGCAGGAGTTTGGGTTCAGTGTGTGAGGGGCTCAGGGCAGGGTGGTTGGGAGTATGATGGGCTAAGGACACAGATTTGAGGTGTGTGGATGGTAAAGGAGTGTTGTGGCAGAAGACTGAGGATGTGGAGGTGCAGGAGTTTGGGGATGAGAAAGGCTCAGGACAGGGGGTTCCAGTGTATGACAGGGTCAGATTTGGGGTCTGGGTGAGTGTGTGCAGGAGTGTTATGATGCTGTGGACAGAGGAGTGCTTGGCCCCAATTGGGGGCTTGCTGGCCAGGCTTCATTTTTGAATAAAATATAATGTCCAACACAAAAGGTTTCAGCTTTGTCTTTGCAAGATGCAAAAAAACACCCCCTCCAAGCCTCATTAATGTGGCCCCAATTGTGCTGGTGCGGGCAGGGTGCTGGGGCAGGGTACTCGTGAGGGGGTCTGGACATGGGGAGAGGACAGCGGGGGCCAGTACCTTGGGATCCTGCAGCTGCACGCCCGGTCCGGGTCTCAGGAATCACCGCTCCCCAAACAGCTGGCGTGTTTCCTGAACAGCCAAGTCTCCCCTCCAAGCCTCATTAATGTGGCCCCAATTGTGCTGGTGCGGGCAGGGTGCTGGGGCAGGGTACTCGTGAGGGGGTCTGGACATGGGGAGAGGACAGCGGGGGCCAGTACCTTGGGATCCTGCAGCTGCACGCCCGGTCCGGGTCTCAGGAATCACCGCTCCCCAAACAGCTGGCGTGTTTCCTGAACAGCCAAGTCTTCCTTCCTCCTAGCCTAGTGCCTTCCTGCACCGCGGGGGGGGGAGGAAGGGGGAGGAGAGAGGAGAAGAGTAGGAGTCCCAGGACTGAGCCAGCTCCAACTGCTCAGGAAGTCTGTTCCTCCGCTCCCCATGGCAGCCACATGCTTCCTGAGCAGTTAGAGCTGGCGCGGTCCTGGAACTCCTACTCCCCTGCTCTCTACCCCGTGCAGTAAGGCAGCAAGAGAAGAAAGTCGCTGGCGTGCCACAGACCTGGTGTTTCAGGAAATGCGCCGGCTGTTTGGGGTGAGGGGAAAGCAGCTTGCGCAATTCCTGAAACCCCGGGCATGGCGCACAGTGCACCTTGCAGGAAGCCAGAGCTACCTCCATTGTCACTGGAGGTAGCGTCAGCGAAGTTTTCTTCTGGGGGGGGGGGGGGGAGAGGAGGGGAAATGGAGAGTGGGCCCAAATGCCTCTTGATCAACTGGTTGAGCCCCCCGGAGCAACCAGTTGATTGCGATCGACGGGTTGGTGACCACGGTTCTAGAGGGATACCTCAAACTCTTTTACCACAAAAGAGCTTGAAAAAAAGCACAGAGAATTGCTTCCCTGGGACTCAGCTTTAGTTACGGGGAGAGGTGAGGCCACAACATGGACTCAGCACAGAGGAATTTAACTAAACTTAAAACAAATAAATTAGCCTGACTGCCTCTAAATAAACATTGCCTGTCCCAAGCTCATTTCATCCCTCTCACAGCCTCTGTTGCTCCTCACACACAAAGGGGACTGAACAGGCAACCCATTTTTTTCAATTTAAATCTTGGCACCTTCTTCCTATTGGCTCTCCTGGCTCCATGCCAACATTTCCTGGATTTTTTTCAGGGATTCTCTGAATTCAATCCTTTAGTTCAGGGTGTACTGACCCACAGAAAAATCAGTCAGGGGCTGCACGCAAGCGAGAAGCAAAAAAAAAAAAAAAAAAAAAAAAAACCTCACAGACGTGGTCCCTAATTGAGAAGGAGAAAGACATTTCCCACATTCCCCTCACACATGAGCCTAGACGAGCCCAGCCTAGTAGATTTGTAGATTTTGTGTGCTCCAGCCCTACAGTAGGGTAGCAAAGGGGCTGGAGTGCCAGCACAAGCTCCCCAATACTGGCAATCCGTGAACTGCATCCAGCCTCTGGGCTTGAGGTTCTCCACCTCTGCTTCAGTTATTGAATAGTGGTATGTTTAGAAAAGTGCAGCACTCCTTCCATCCATCACATTTCCTGACAGTGACATAGCTGTAGTTTTACACTTAATATAGTGACTGAAGAGCTCTTTCCACTGCTGTAGTAAATCTACTTCTCAGAGGGCCGGTCTACACTGTAGTGCAGAGGTGGGCAATAATTTTTTAAGGGGGGCCATTGCACAAATTTCGGAAGTGGTCATGGGCTGCCCCAGAAGGGGCAGGGCCTGGCAACTTCACATGCTCCACTGCCCACAGAGCCTGATTGGCCTGGGGATGGGGAAGTGCGTGAAGTTCTTGCCTCCCACCCCGTCCTACAAGGGGCATATGGCGCCTAGAGGGAATCACCATCCATTTCGAACCTCAAAGGGGAAGCAGCCTGGGGGTGGGGAAGTGGCTGTGGGCCAGATCAAATGGCTTGGTGGGCCAGATCTGGCCCACGGACGTTGTCTTGTGCCCACCCCTGTTAAAGTGGGAGATCAACTTAAGTTAGAGAACTTCAGCTACAAGAATAATGTAGCTGAAGTTGATGTACTTAGATCTACTTACCACAGTATCTTCACTGTGGTGTGTTGACAGGAGATGCTCTCCCATCAACTGCCCTCACGCTTCTCATTCTGGTGGAATACCAAAGCTGACATGAGAATGATCTCTCATCAAGACTATATAAGTAACCTCTGCTGGACTGATTGCTGCCTGTTGCTCCATCTGACAGTACAGACATACTTTAAGAGGCACTAGTTTGTGATAGAGCCAGGAATAGAAAAAGTTCTGCTGGGTTATACATCCATAGCTATAACCACAGCTGAGATTGTGAAGTATAAACATACTGTTAACTAGAAATCTGTTGCAGATTATGTACCAGCAGAATAGCCACAATCCTAACTGGACAAAGACATCTGAATTCATGGCTTCTGGCACCTACTTCAATACACATTCTTCTCGGCTAAAGGCTATTTTATGGGGAAGACTCTCTCCACCCTCCTTTTCATTCTCTATCTCCAGAGTACTAGTGTTTTCTGCAGGGATCACAGCTGTCTCAAATAGCACTCCAAAGAACCAGAACAAAAGATGAACAACTTTGAATTAACTGGGTTTTGGATACCAATCTTGATGCTGGTCACACAAAAACAATGACTCCCAACTGATGTAATTTTCTTGTAGATCCTGCTCTATATACCCCCATTTAATCCTATATACACACAAAAAGTATAATAAAATGCTGTTATTTTAGAAACTGGTAATTTGAGAATAGGATGGAAGAGGAAATAGTTCTCAGGAACCTATTGATAAAATGAACTCAAATCAGCATCGCAAACTCTACCCTGCCCCCTGAACTGACACATCATTTTCCAGGCAATCTATATATATTTCCAATGCAAATATAAAATTCGACATTAAACGGAATCTATGATGTAACAATGTTCATGCGACAGATGCCACTGCCCATTATTTTTACAATAGTAAAATCTTTGAAGGAACTGAATCCCACTTTCTTCACGATGAAATGATTGTCTTTTGAGACTACAGTTACTAAACTAAAATTAGTCAAAATGGTACATTTCCTTACAGCGAAGTGTAAAGGGCTAATCGCTCTCTCTCTCTCTCTAATACTAAGATATCGAAACATAAAGTAACTGTTACTTACCACTTAATGTTTTAGATCGAATAGGAGGCAATCCCTTTTTTTGGCGTTCTTTTTCCCTTTCTCTAGCTCGTCTTTCACTGGAGTATGACCGCGATGACTTTCTCTTTCTTTCTCTTGACCTTGAGCGTGAACGTTTCCTATGTTTACGTTTTCGGGAACCAGACCGTGACCTAGACCTCCGTTTTCTTGGTGACCTACAAAACATTAATTTTAATACCTTGAACAGAGGACAGGGGAGATATGTTCATTTTTATTTTTATTAAAAATCAACACTCAGCATAGTAATATAGACTTTCTTTAGTGTTTGTTTAAATGCTTAATAAAATAATATGCAAATGATTTTTCCTACTGTATAGCGGAAAGATATGTCCTGCTCTTAGTGTGGAAGCTAAAAAGGGCATTAGTCTGACTTCAAGAAAGAAATGTAAAGTAACAGCAGAAAAATAAGGATTACAGAAGAAAAGCCCTTCCCAAAGTCAACATTTTAGCTACGTATTTGTATTATTTAGAAATTTAAGGAATCCACATCTAAAAAAAATTAGTTGCCTTGCCAAAAAGTCAATTAACTATACAGCTTAATCCTGTTTAGATTAGGGATGTTACATTTCGATTAATCAATAGGGTGCCTCCACCTTTGAAGTGGAGCAACAGCCCTAAGGCCAAAGCACTGCGGGGAGCATGGGGCCAGCATGGGCCTGCCCTTGTGCACTGACGGTATTTCAAAGAGGCAGCGCCGCATGGAGCCCAAGGTCAGCAGGGGGAGTCCCCAGCTGATCCCAGGATTCACGTGATGCTGCTGCTTTGAAATGCCGCATAGACACTGGGGGACACTCCAGCTGGCCCCGGGCTCCATGCAGCGCTGCTGCTTTCAAGCACTGCCTGCTCTCTCCCCTGCTTTGCTGCCTCTCTCTCACGGAGACAGCAAGGGGGCAGTGGAAGCAACTATTGGACTAGCCTGTTGATTATCCAATAAGCCTTTGTTTATTGGATAGTTAACTAGTCATTCACATCCCCAGTTTAAATATAGACTATTTAATTCATTTCCAATGTAATACGCAACCATGTTGGAAGCCAAAAATTCACAAACAAAACAAACATAACACAGTCTCTGTATTTTAGAACAGAGTTGATTATACTTGAATAATAAGTTGATTATGAAACCTTGACCGAGATCTTGAGTGTGTTCTTGATCTTGAGCGAACAGCTGATTTCTTTTCTTCTTGTTCAAAAATCTCTTCTTCGACTACATCTTGCCCTTCATCTATATCCATGTCCTAATTATGAAATAAATGAGAAATAAAAGCAAAAATATACAAAACATACAGTGGTATACAAAGAGAGACAACATAATTTCTAAAGTTAATTTTTTCCTCTCAAACCTCAGTAATTTAATGAGAAATGGTAAATTTCACCTGTTGTTGAATATCCATTGAATCATCTAGGTTTGTTTCCACTTCTAAAAACTGCTGTTGACTACTCCCTTGTGATGGTGATGCAGAGTGCTCGGACCCAAAATTTCCTTCTTGATTTTCCTCAGGGCTTGCCTGCACATGACAAATATTACATTAAAAAAAATTTGGAGACCAAATTGTTCATTATGTCAAAGTATGATACGATGTAGGACATACAAACATGACTGTTGGAATATTTTTTTAAACAATTTATTTGCAAGTGTCTGGGATTTTTTTTAACCACTTCATTTTTTGTAAATGCAAATAAAGTTAATGTGCAAACCTGCTAAGAGAACTCTGAGTTAAAGTTTATTTACCTTCATTACACTCTGTATACTCCAGTACACAAACAGTGTTTAACACAGCCAACATGTTTTCAGTTCCCATCAAAATTACTATTATCAAGCTATGAGTTAAGATAACGTTTATGAAGAAGATTGTTTTTTCACAATTCTGGTTAATTAGAACTAAACAAAACGACCAAATACGTAAACTCAGTAATCTTGTATAATAGAAAAAAGCATGTATCAAAATAGTCATATTATTTTTAAATATATAAATATTCTGTTAGTACACAAGTCATTGGTAACAGCTTATTGTAGTCAATTCCATAAAAAAACAATTTCATGACTGATTATTTTGTTATGATGTAAAACTAGTTTAAAAATTATTTAATTCTAACCTCTTGGACCAGTATGAGATAAAACAAGACAAGACAAATTATGAAAATGTTTAGTTTTAAGCCTGGATGTTAATTACAAAAAAGAAATCTATCACTGCAACTTCATCTGAAAAATGTGCAAATCACACTAATTTTAGAATGTAAACTACAAAATTGGGTAAAAAATTAGGGTGTGGCCACATGTAAGAAAAATAGTAAATGGTGGTCCGGACATGAGAGCGGCCAATTCGCTTACTCTGCTTGCTGATGTGATAGTCTCTAGGAACGCTGTTTTAAGCATTACATGGAGTAAGGAACATGTGGCCATAGGTTCAAAGGGCAGTTTTGTTAATGTCTTCAGAACCAGGTGGAGGTCCCATTGTTTTTGTGGGGGTGACACGTCAGGGTATAGAGCTTGGAGGCCCTTCAAAAACTGTTTCATCGTGGGGTGTGCAAACAAAGTGGTGTCATGCAGTGGTACATGGAATGTTGTTATAGCTGGTAGGTGCACTCTGACTGAGGCCAATGAGAGAATAGACTGTGTCAGGTGCAGTATGTAATCCAATATTATTGGGAGTGGGGCTATTTGCAGTGATACATTGCGCTCGCAGGCCCAGTGTGTAAATCAAGTAAATTTACTGATATAGGTTTTTCTTGTTGCAGGAGCTCTGCTGTGCAGAAGAACTTCCTGGACTTGTTGGGAGACCTGGAGCTCTATGCCAGTGAAGCACTGAGGTGCCCGCTTTTAGATGGAGCATCGAGAGTTGAGGGAGAGGTGTGCTGATTTGCGGGTGATAGAGGATGTAAGATACCTGTGGGCTGTCTGGATTTGAAGGGGCGTGCCTGTAGTTAGACTGGACACCATTTTAATTAAACTTTGACTGATGGAGGCATAGTTAGCCTCTTTGTCAGTGAATGAATGTTTGGTTTGTACTGCGTTAGGAGCCAACCTTGGAGAAACCTCATAAATAGCCTCACATTGCGTACCACAGGGTTGCAGGAAGCCATATGGCCTAAACGTCAAAGGAAGTCAAGTGTGGTGACTTTTGGCATGTCCTGTAGGGATAATGCCAGGAGGCTGATGTGAGTAGCTCTGTCGGGAGGGAGAGAAGCTTTGGCTGTGACACAGTTGAGGTGTGCCGCAATAAATTGGATGGTCTGCAAGGGTGTAAGCATTGATCGGGGGTGGTTTACTAGAAGTATTAGAGAATGAAGACAGTCTAGCACCAGATGAGGGTGTTGATGGCACTCGTGTCTGGACCTTGTTTTGACTAGGCAGTCGGCCAGGTAGGGATATATGGCAACTCCTTGTCCGAGGTGGGCAGTGACTGCCACTAGGCTCTTGGAAAATAGAGATAGAGAGAGCCCGAAGGGTAGGACCATGTACTGAAAATGGTTTGGTCCCATGTGTCTGAGGTAATTAATGATGAAGGAAGAGGGTTGCACTAGGAGGCCAGCTGCATAGTGACAGCTGTAGCCATCGTTCTTGTGGCTGTGTCTGCTGCATCGAAAGCCGTTTGCAACGCTATACGTGAAAATTGACTCCCCTTCAGAAACAATGGCTTTGAAATATGCAGTTTTTTGCTTTCGGGCAGATCATCAATAAATGTGTTCATGTTATTGTTATAATAGTATTTACTAAGCAGGGCTGAATAAATTGCTACCCTCAGCTGGTGTGTGGCTGCAGCATACACTCTTTTACCAAACGAGTCTAATCTTTTATTGTCTTTGTCAGAGGGGGTTAAGTAATTTTGGTGCCTATTTCTTTGCTGTGCAGCATCCACCACAAAGGGATTAGGGGTGGGGAGAATATGTGAAGAGAAATTCAGCTTGTAGGATATTACCGAGCTCGTGGGGAATATACCGTACTTCCTCCACAGGAATATTTAGATCTTGTGCAACTCTTTTAAATAAGTTTTGGAAAGAGGAAACGTCCTCCAAAGTGTTAGTGGAGGGAGGTAGAATTGCCTCCCCCGTATCAGCTAATGATGTTGTGTGAGCCAAAGATCCCATCGCTGACATAGGGGAATATTGGCTCTCATTATCACTCCTCCTAATGTGTCTGTGAGGCGATTCAGTACATCGTGAGAGCCTTATCTATATGTTTAATTTTAAATAGTCTCTTTCTGTGCTGTTGTGGAGGTTAGTCCCACATTTGCCACTGTGGGCGGTAGGCCACGAGCAGGAACATCCACAGGTAGGGATCCCAGGGAGTCATTTGCGCTCTGATAAGGTCCAGTTGCAAGTGACTGTGTGTCCCCCGTGACCCTTCTGAATCAGGGACCAGTTGTGATGAAACGAGTCTAATCTTTTATTGTCTTTGCCAGCACCAAAATCCTCTCCCTCTTCATGTGAGGGGGGAGACGGCGAATCTGAGTCATCAGAAAGCAGTGACTAAATGTGTCTGTCTTCATTAAAAGTGAAGAGATGAATCAATCTGCAAGACTTTATTCTCCCTGTATGTGATATGGGGAGTTTGTGATGTGGGGGGCTGTGCTAGCTGAAAGGAGCCCGTTTATCCCAGAGCTAAGAGGGAGAGCTATTGCCCCTAATAGTTGAGAGGAAGGTGCAGTATTGACTGAGTGCTCTATCCCTTCCCTAGGTGCCATCATGAGAGGCTGAGGTACAGGTGGAGCTGTCATAATGGTCGGCATTACCAGGGTTTCTGAGGTTCGCACGGAATGGCCTATTGCCTCTGTAAGGGCAGCATTTGAAACGCTTTCTGGATTACTACACTGTTCGTCCGAAGTACGTGGACAGTCAAACGTGCTCAAATGGTTCTTATCTGAGTGGTCTGACTTTTTTACCACAGACTGCCTTTGGTGGGTTGCTGAGGTAACGAGCTTGCACTTCTCTAGGGGAGTGAAGAGTTGCATCAATGTGCAAGTCTTTATTCTCCCTGTACGTAATCAGAGAAGTTTGTGACGCGGGGGGTTGCGCTAGCTGAGAGGAGCACGTTTTTACCGCAGAGCTGAGAGGGAGAGCTATTGCCCCTAATAATTGAGAAAAAGGGAAGTGTTCTCAGAATGCTCTATCCCTTCTCTGGGTGCCATCTTGAGAGGCTGAGGTACCCGTGTAGCTGTCATTGGGTCAGTGTTACCGGATTTGCTGAGGCTGGCACAGAATGGCACTTTGCCTCTGTTGGTGGAGCGTTTGAAGTGCTTTCAGGCTTACTACGCTGTTCACCCGAAGTACCTGGTTGGCTAAACATGCTCAGACGGTTCTTGCCTGAGTGGTCTGATTTTTTTCCCTCAGACTGCCTCTTGGTGGGTTGCTGAGGTAATGATCCTGCCCTTCTTTTAGAGGGCTTAGAGTTATCTTTGTTAGGTATTAAGCCATGCCCAGAGCCTGGGTCAGAGGCATGTCTTTTGTTGTTGTCATTATGGAGCTTTTTCAATATAAGCTCCTTCTCTCCGTGAGACCCGAGTCTCATTTTGACACAGTGCGGGCAATCTCTGTGCGAATGAGAGCTCCCCAGACATGTGAGGCAGGAGTCATGCCCATAGAGGCAGACACCGCACCACTGCAGAGCGCACAGAGTTTGAAGCTGGGAGAGCTCATGCCAGCTTGTATGCTGAAGCGGTGGTTCAAACCCTGTTCCGTCTTTTTTTTTTTTTTTTAAACTAGTACTAATTTAATCTAAATAACAAGAAACAGTGAGGGTATGTCTACACTACCATCCTAGTTCGAACTAGGGTGGTTAATGTAGGCAACCGGAGTTGCAAATGAAGCCCAGGATTTGAATTTCCCAGGCTTCATTTGCAGGTTGCCGGGTGCAGCCGTTTTTAAATGTCCGCTAGTTTGGACTCCGTGCCCACGGCTACACGCGGCACGAACTAGGTAGTTCGGATTAGGCTTCCTATTCCGAACTACCGGTACACCAAACAGTAGTTTGGAATAGGAAACCTAATCCAAACTACCTAGTTCGTGCCGCGTGTTGCCACGGGCACGGAGTCCGAACTAGCGGCAATTTAAAAATAGCGGCTCTCGGCAACATGCAAATGAAGCCCGGGAAATTCAAATCCCGGGCTTCATTTGCAACTCCGGTTGCCTACATTAACCACCCTAGTTCGAACTAGGGTGGTAGTGTAGACATACCCTGAAAGACTTAACCAAAAGCTAGTAACTAACTAAAAACTAACTACTTTAACAACTAAGTGTGCTGAGGAGAGAAGAGCACTGCCATGTTCTGTCAGTAGACAGGGACGGTAGACAGGAAGTGAAGGGAGGCGGGGGGAAGCATCTGCGCATAGCTAGTCAGGGAGTTCGCACGCATTGCGCGTCGCGTATGCGCGGCCCCTGCTGAAGCACTGCTAGTGAAACTCCATCCAGAGGCACTGGGACGCTCTACACCTGATGTGGAACACATCCAGATTTTATGTGAATTTTAGTGCAGAAGGCAGATGGCTTTCTACATAAAGAAAAAAATGAC